ACACAGAAGTCCCTCCCCAAAACGACGTAGTTTTGAGGAGGGTATAAATAGACCTTAAATAGCCTAAAATTCCCAAAATTCCTCATTTATTCATTTTGCTTCTCTCTCTAAAGAGAGAGAAGCTCTCACTTCTCTCTAAACTTAACCACCGGTCGGCCACCGCCGATTACTATTCTGACCACCGCCGATCACTATTCCAACCACCGGTCACTATTCACGGTGGTTGAAAAATATAAAAATACCCCCAAATCGTAGATCAAAACACCCTAAAGCCGAATTCGACCTCCGTTTTTCCTAAAAACTCCTAGAATTTTCTAGATCTAAATTTATACCTTCGATATTTTGGTTTTCCGATGACTATGGTAAGCTCTCTCCTTCATTTTCCTTTCGATTTTTTACTGCTGGTGGTAGATTGGTTCTCTTGCTTCTTCTCTCTCTTTTTTTCTTTTTTGCATGTTAAATGGCCTTTTATAGGCCTTCAAAACACTGTTTGTTCGGTGAGTCACCGGATCTACGATGGTGACTCACCTTAGCTTCAATATGTGTGCGACCGTCTTCATCTCTTCTGGAATCTTCATTGTAGCTGTGGTGATGTGGCAGCAACTGATTGGGGAACATGACGGCGGAGCAGCTGGAGTAGAGGCGACGGAGCAGTTGGAGTAGAGGCGGCAGAGAAGATGCTAAAAATCCTAGATGGGTGTTGGGTCAGGTCTAGATCTGGGCCTTCGGGTTCTGGATCTGGGCCTCCGGGTTCTAGATCTAGGCCTCATTTGTAATTTGGGCTCTGGATTATTGTATTTGGCCTGTAATAATATTATTATTTATAGTAATAATAATAATAATAATAATAATTATTATAAAATAATTATAATAATAATAAAATGAAAAATTATTGTCTACACTACTATCGTTTTCCCTTTGACTTTGTACTACGTCCTTCGTTTTTATTTCGCTTTACTCTTGGTTACTGTAACACCCTACACCTGATTGGGGCTAAAGTGCCACATTAGGTTACTGAAGCAACCCTTGATTTTTGAAACATGTTCATTTTTTTTCCAAATCTACTTAATTGTATCATATTTAAAATATAAATAATTGTATTAAAACATTTTACAAAATTGAAGCTCAGTGACATATAATTTAAAACCAAAATAATACAGACTCTGAGTTTAAATAACTGAGTACATGAGTAAGGTTCTATTAATACATATGCCCACTAAGCTATAGTACAATACTTTGAAGGAGATGCTGGAAATCCTGTTGCGATGGTGCTCCACGAACTGCTTATGCTACAATCCTACCAACAGAAAACATCTGAAAGCTGATCTTACAAAGCCCAACAATATTGTTAGGATTTACGAAGCTCAATTGACAACCGAAAATATGCCAATATGGGTGAATTGACAAATTGTGTTTAGGAAGTGAGGAGAGAGAAAGGATTGACACTTTTGCACAATGATTTATAGTGGTTCGACTTCTCAACTAAGTCTACATCTACTACCTAATCTCCTCACTTAGGATTTCATTTTTAACACCTACAACGTGATTTGATCTTGAAATCAAGTTTAAAGCTTAATATGTTCAATTACTCAAATCTTTAGCAAAAACTTGTAATTTATGAAATCTAAATACTCCAAATGATTAGAAATACACTACCTTGTTGGTTGAATCCCGAAATTGAGCTCCTTTAGCTAGAAATCATTCCCCACCATGGATAATAAAACCCTCAACTTTCTCTTGCAAACAAAGAACCCATGGCTTGAATGGTTAAATCCATGTTGCTTGAGGGGTTAAGAACGAAAATAAAACTTGAAATGGGCTCAAGAGCTTACCCTTGCTAAGAAACTTGGAGAGTAGGGAAGAAGAGAAAATTAGAAGATAAGAAAATGAAGAGAAAATGGAGATGGAAAAGATAAAAAGTCTCCATCTTTCTAAAATGGGAAAATTATACTAAAAGTCCTTCCTCATATTTATGAAATTCACAAATCTTCTTTGTATGATTAATTAGGCTCAACTCTAACACAATTAAGCCCAACGACTTGATTTATAAATTATGCGGAGTCTACTTACCTCTCTACTCGAAACTAGTAGTCTGAAATTTGAGACATTACAATTACGATCATGATCTACACGTCAATCAATTTCCCATTTCAACAAAATCAGCATAAATTTAACAATAAAGGATTCAAATTTCATATACCACACCATTCTCATGGTTGCCATATCGTGAACTATGGGAGGTCTTATCATATCAACATATTATCATCAAAAGCAACTCCTTGAAACAACCAAATTAATTATAGTAAAAAAACGAATCCGGTTAGCCATACTACTAATGTCTAAATGCATCGAAATTAATTAATGCGCTCCAAACGAAGCAGGCTCACAACACTTGTTCACAATTAGAAACTTGAACGGTTGGAACACAAGTTTTATTTCAGAGACTAGCACGAAATGGAACAAAACAAAGTTAATAAATAGGATAACATTTACGCATATGTTAAACTGCAAACCACTACACCCCTATGGCCGAATCAAAAATATTTATTCATATTAAAACCACATTTCATGGTAAAACCACTACACCACATTTAAGCACATGTCTAAACAAATGAATTGGACTCGTGTTAAACTGCAACCCACTAAAGCCAAACTTAAAATTTCCAACTTCACCATTACCTTCATGTAATCCCTTGGCTGAATCACTAAACCAATCCCTCCAATAATTTTTATTGAACTTTATTGCTTAATTATAATTCCACAACACCCCTAACATCTTAATTCAACCTTATTTCTTTGAATTCTCATTTCCCCTTCATCTACTAAAATCACAACTTTCACAAATCAAGCATGAAATAATGAAATAATTATACCATCTTATAGAGAAAATAGTGTAGAATAATTTCCTATTTCTTAGTCCTAAATCTTACTAAAATTGATCAAAAAATGAAAAAGAAAAATTTGACTCACCTTAACTATGGGTTTCGGCAGCTTGCCGGAGGAGAGAGAAAAATTCTTGAGAATTCTAACAAAGTATCTCCCAACTTTGACTTTTAAAAGTTAATTAAAATGAATTTTTTAATTCAATTTAATTCAAAAGTCTAAATTTCCCTACCTCCATGTCACTCCTTTAATTCTATTTTAATATTCTTAAATAGTTGTAAAAATCTCATCTCTCAATTTCCCTTTTTGAACATCCAACTTTTTAAAATTTTATTTTAGTCACTAAATTGTACTATTTCACTTTATAGTGCATTTTTTTCAAATTTCACCATCCAACTTAAATTCCACTAATTAAAAATATCCATATAATTTTTCTACCCAAAAATACCTTCCTTCAAATTTTTGGATACTTCTGATTTGATCCGACTATTCAAGTACCCTACAGATCTTTATTTTTTAATAAATTATTATGCGAACTCCAAATTAAAATTCTGAACCCACTAAAATAAGTGTCTTGGGCTGAACTACTCGTTTACAACACAAAATATAACTTTTTAAAATTTATATTTTAGTCCCTAAACTTTTACAACTTTACACTTTAGTCCCAAACTTTCAAATTTTTACATTCCAGTCACTAGTCCAAAAATTGGGATATTACAACATTACTCTGGGAATATTGTATTAGCTTGTTTGGTTTGCTTAGCAAGCATATAAGATTACAGTGTTTGATTCGAGGAATATATGATTATTTGGATGCATATTTTACCAAATTATCCTTGTGATATATAGTTTTTAACAAATAAAACTTTAATATTAAATTATAAATATTTGAATGAAAATTTATAAAAATATTTTAATTATTGCACTATATAAGTTTAAATAAAAAATACATTTAACATATAATTAATACAATTAGTATTCCAAATTTATAATTATAAATAATTTTCATAAGTATCATATTTATTTATATAAAATACAATAAAACATGAAAAATAATATTGTGATCTTGAGTAGACAAACATTTTATTTTTTTAATGTATAAGAACTATTTTTTAAAAACTCAAAATTAAAAATTATTTTAAATATTTACATTTTTACGATAATAAAATTTTTATCTCATAAAATTATAAAATAATTAGTATATAAAATATTAAAATATAAAATAATTTTAAATACTCTAATTTATTAATATTTTATTAAATTAAACTCTTTGTATAATATTATTATTAAGTTTATAATTTAGAGGAAAACACGAAGAATAAAAATTGAGAATGATCCATATGAAAAAAGTTATTATTTCAAGGATATTTTTGTCCAAAATGGTAGGAATTGTTCATCACCTAAGAAATTGGAGATAATGGCATTCCCACCATTTTAACCAAAAAATGCTACTATTGGTAATTAGTTATGAGAAGTATAATGATCTTTTTCATGAACCAAACGCTCCCTTAAGATTTGCCGTTAAGGCAATTGAATTTTAATTTTAAAATAAAAAAATTAAAATCGCCAAAAGGTAGTTTCAATGCACGAAAAACAAATCAACGTAAAAAAGGTTGATATTTGGGAGGCACGTCGAAAAGGAATTGAGGTTCATCCATCCAACCTTTTTTTCTTCTTGAACAGAAACAAGTAGTTAATCTACCCAAAGTGGAAGCTGTCGTGTATTTACAGTCGTCATAATGGTGGGAACATATTTTTTTTAGAATATCAATCTGGGTACGATACTTTTGGAAATAGGTAAACCAACATGGAAGGAACTCTAGTCTCCAGCTGCTGGTTTTTTCCACATACGAGCTACTTATTCATAATATATCATGTTTAAGGTTACCTGCATTGTCAGATAATTAGGCTTCTTTGTATCATTGGATTTGTTTTATACTTGAAATACATGCATATATAACAAAATATTACTTGAAACGTTCTCTATGTAGTTAATATCGTAAAAATGTCTTTATTGCATAAATAAATAAATTTATGTTCGATATACAAATGCAATTACAAAACAGATTATATTTCTGTTTGATATAAAAATGCAATTACAAAACAGAATATAAGCATTCATAACAAATTATTTTCTAATCCCACAGAAACAGATATTTTTTTCTTCCAATTAGAGCTTGGGAATCCTAAAATCATTCCATTTTCTTTCCTAGCTTCAACTTAGCTTCATCATCTCCACTGTATGGGTTAACATGGTATGCATACTGCTGGAGAACAGCGAAAAAAACCATCTCCAGACACACCAATATGTTTTGAAAAGCTTCCTCAAGGTGCTCCACATCCAACCAGAAATGATGCGGCTTTATGATGCCCACCGCAACTAGTATGTCAAGCACCACTCCCTGCATGCAGTCAATTGATGCCATTAAATATAAGATAAAAACAGAATAATATTAGTTCAACAACAAACAACAGCAAACGAGGGCAAGGAAACATTGAGTTGGTTGTACTCCAGGATGCTATCCACAGCTTGCAATACAAAGCAATGTTTAGAATTTGACAACATTTATATCTAGTACCCCAGAACAGTCAAAATCTCCGCTTTAGCTTTAAATAATTGAATAATTCATAGTGCTCAAAGAAGAAAGTTCCACTCAACCAGCAATCCTGCAAACTTCTTCGAAGGAAGAAACAAAAGACATCCAGCCAGAGGACGGAAGAAAATTAATAAGAAACTGTCGTAACCGGTTTTCGTCCGGGCACGAAATATTACTTGGCGGGAAAATTTATGTGAATAAATGATTTTTAAAAATAATTTGGGAGTCGCCATCGGCCTTTTGGGTCAGGTAGGTCGAATACCTAAAAATTATTTTTTTTTTTAAAAGAGTTTTAAGAAAACATCAAAAAAAAATGAACTGATCTGCGTTTATAACCAAAAATTCGTTCTTTTTAATAATAAAAAGGGGATTCGTGGTCGGTTACGTTTAGGGAATGATTAGCACCCCTACAACGCCCAAAATTGGTACTTTTTAATTATAAATTGTCTCTATTATTAAAAATTCAAAATATATTTAATTTATAATCCTATTATTTCAAAATTATATATAAAAAATATTTAAAAATATCGGAAAAGGACTTCTAGGTGCCTTAAGACAGCTCTTTTCTTTCATATTAATAAATATTAATTTGAATAAAATTAAATAATAATTTTTTATAATATTTAATTTTAAAATACTAGAATAGGACATCCAGTTGTATTAAGACTGCCCTTTTCTTCGATTAAAATAATTTATTGAAAAAAATAAATTATTATTTATTATATATATATTTATGACTACATAATAATAATAAAAATATTTAAATATATAAACAAATAAAATTAAAACAATAAAAATATAATTATAACTATATGAAAATATTAAAAATTGGTGACTAGATTATAGTAAAATTAAAATTAAATATCCAATTCATAATTAATCAAAATTATAGGGATTAAACATGCTATTTTCTTATTTATTAATTCAGTGACTAAAATAAAATTTATCTAAAATTCGAATATCAGATTAAAATAAATTAAAAATATAAACTCGGGATTAAAATATTAATTATTAAAATTAAGGGATTAAATCTGTTATTTACCCTAAATATATTATTTTAATATAAAGGACTAAAATAAATAAAACTAAAATTTAAAGATCAGATTAAAAGGATTATAAATTGATTTAGTGACTAAAATGTAAAGTATACAAATTTGAGGGATGGCGGACGGGATTTAACAATTAAAAAATTACAAACAGATCCCTCCCCAAAACGGCGTCGTTTGGGGAGGGCTATTTAAGCCCCTTCATAGCTGGCCCTTCGGGCCAGCAGCTCATTCTTCTCCTTTCTTCTTCTCTCTCACAAACGAGAGAAGAAAAAACTCTCTCGGCTCTCTCTAGCTTCCCTCATCGGAGGGAAGCCGGTCACCGGGCGGCAGCTGTCTGCCGCCGTGATTCTCACCGCCGGCCACCGCATCCGGTGGCCGGAGAAAATTTTTTTTACACCATCATGTAGATCGGACCGTCCTAATGACGGTTCCGTTGTTCTTTTCTTTTAAAAAGCTCCCAATCGGAGCAAATCTAGGAAAATACCTTCGGTTTTTGAAGGTAGTTGGTGACGTTTGGAGGGGTCCGGTGGTCGTGGCTTCCTCGGTAAGCTTCTCTCCTCCCTTTTCTTCTGTTTTTGGTTGCTGGTTGTTGTGATTTGGTCTCTATTTTTGTATCTTTTGCTCTCGGTTTTGTCTCTCTGGGGTCTGTTGTTCTCTGTTTTGTTCGCAGATGGATAGCCATCACCGGTGTGGCCATCGGACCGGGTAAAAGAATACCCTTCGGTGAGTCACCGGACTCCCAATGGTGACTCACCCCATAGCCATAGCGTGGACGGCTGGCGTTGGAGCTTCTGGAGCCTTCGGTTGGGGCATGGCAGCGGTTGGAGCAACGTGGAGCGGCGGCAGCTGGTGTAGTCCCTAGGGTATCATAACCCTAGGGTTTTGTCTGGCGCCATCTGGACCGTTGGATCTTGCCAGATCCAACGGTGGCAAGCTGAGGCGGCTGGGAGAAGAGGGAAACCCTAATCTGGTTTAGGGTTTCCATTGGGCTTCTGGATTTGGGCCACCATTTGTAATTGGGCCTCCATTTTGGGTTTTGTAATATTAAATAATATATATTAATAATAATAATTATTATAAATATAATAATAATTATTATTATATAAATAACATTAAAATGAAAAAAATGAATATCTTCAGCTGCCCCTCTTTGCTTATTCTTAATAAGAATAGAGCAAAGACGAAAAGATAATAAGTTTTTTTTCATTTGACTTTACTTGATTAATATGGAGATGTTGAATAAATTCTTCTCTTTCTTCAGATGAGTTCTTCTTATTATGAACTTTCCATTGGGGATGATGTTGACCTCTTTCCTTCTATGATAGAGTCATTTAAAAGGTTGAATAAGCTCTTCTTATTATGAACTTTCTCTTCTTCAGATGAGTTCTTCTCATTATGAACTTTCTCTGGAAAAGCTGATCAATCGAGTGATGGATTTGAGCAAAAGGTTGAACAAGCTCTTCTCATTATGAACTTCTTCTTCCTTCTTCAGATGAGTTCTTCTTATTATGAACTTCTATGGAAAAGCTGATCCATCGAGTGATGGATTTGAGCAAAAGGTTGAACAAGCTCTTCTCATTATGAACTTCTTCTTTCTTCTTCAGATGAGTTCTTCTTATTATGAACTTCTCTGGAAAAGTTGATCCATCAAGTGATGGATTTGAGCAAAAGGTTGAACAAGCTCTTCTCATTATGAACTTCTTCTTCCTTCTTCAGATGAGTTCTTCTTATTATGAATTTCTCTGGAAAAGCTGATCCATCAAGTGATGGATTTGAGCAAAAGGTTGAACAAGCTCTTCTCATTATGAACTTCTTCTTCTTTCTTCAGATGAGTTCTTCTTATTATGAACTTCTCTGGAAAAGCTGATCCATCAAGTGATGGATTTGAGCAAAAGGTTGAACAAGCTCTTCTCATTACGAACTTCTTCTTCCTTCTTCAGGTAATGAGTTCTTCTTATTATGAACTTCTCTGGAAAATTTTAATCCATCACATGATGAATTCAAACAAAAGGTTAAACAAATTCTTCTCATTATGAACTTCTTCTTCCTTTTTCAGATGAATTCTTCTCATTATGAACTTTCTCTGGAAAATCTGATCCATCAAGTGATGGATTTAAATCTTTGCTAAAATCTTTGAAATTCCTGTCAAAATTCAACATGGATGAGAATGAATGAAAATGCACCTATTTTTGCAAACGCCTAAAATATGATGCATGAATGTTTATTTGATTTCAGATTGGTGAATTGAGTATTTCTTCAATTGTAAAAACCCAATAAATCTTTCTTCTTCAAATCAGAGAATCTATCATCTTTGACAAATGTAGATGTAGATATAATGTCACAAAACCTCTTGAGAATAAAACTCAATAGTATAGGCTCTTGAAAAGCTTGCATTCATGCAACATGTTGATTCTGATAACAACTCATCTGATTATGAAGTGACCTTTTCAGATGATTTCACATTCTGATAACAACTCATCTGATTATGAAGTGATCTTTCAAGATGATTTCACATTCTGATAACAACTCATCTGATTATGAAGTGATCTTTCAAGATGATTTCACAGATATCGATAGTTCTTTCAATACTGAGAAATCTTGAATTCTGATTCTGATGATGAGAATAAACTGTTTATACTTGACAAAAATGGGATTCTCAGAGGCTGAAGCTTCAATAGCTATGGAGAGATGTGGTCCAGATTCATCAATTGCAAAATTGACAAATTTTATATGTGTTGCTCAAATGGCTAAGGTTACTGACACATTTCTTCCGATAAAAGATGGGAAGCCATTATGCAATGATCCTAATTACAAGAAAAGGCGAAACCTGGCTATGATTTTTGGGAAAGAAATAAGCAAAAGAAGCTTTAAAAGAAACTTCTTAATGAAGACGATCATGCAATTCATCTTTTAATTCCAATGATTGTTTCTGGGTTTTATATCAAACCAAATCAGATAACTCAAAGAATACTTCCAGAAGATGCTATTGGGTCTCCTTATTTCTACTATGAGCAAATTCATCTTTCAAATTTAATGATTGGTTCTGTGGTTTCATATCAAACCAGATCAGATAACTCAAAGAACACTTCCAGAAGATGCTATTAGCACATTCCTCTTCCAAATTCAATAATTGGTTTTACCAAACCAGATCAGATAACTCAAAGAACACTTCTAGAAGATGCTATGAGCACATTCATCTTTCAAATTCAATGATTGGTTTTACCAAACCATATCAAATAACTCAAAGAACACTTCCAGAAGATGCTATGAGCACATTCATCTTTCAAATTCAATGATTGGTTTTACCAAACCAGATCAGATAACTCAAAGAACACTTCCAGAAGATGCTATGAGCACATTCATCTTTCAAATTCAATGATTGGTTTTACCAAACCAGATCAGATAACTCAAAGAACACTTCCAGAAGATGCTATGAGCACATTCATCTTTCAAATTCAATGATTGGTTTTACCAAACCAGATCAGATAACTCAAAGAACACTTCCAGAAGATGCTATGAGCACATTCATCTTTCCAGCTAATGTTTGGACTGGGATATCACAGTACTTATTAGATGTAAAGCCAGAATTTGTAGATTCGAAGCATTTTCATACTGCTACACTGAAAAGGGCTATATTCATAATTCTTCCAATTAAGAACATATTTTCTCTTTATTCTGCTTCCTCCATGTGCTGATGCTTTTCCATTGACAAAGAAATGATGGCCTTCATGAGATTCAAGAACAAAGTTGAACTGT